CTATAAGGTAAGATTCTTTGTCATCCTTATTACGTTCAGGAGTGTTTCTCGATCTCCGAGTTCGACTGTTAATAAGCAGATGATTTCTAAAATCTATCTGAGCACGGCCATGCATTTTCACAGTCTCGCTCTTCGAGCGGCCTTGTAAACAACAAAACATTTTCCCTATTGTTAGTAGGGGGACAATCCCAGTCTTTTATTGTAAGTTCTTCTTACTAAGAGGACATAGTCTCTTGAGTGTTCCCGTTATGATCCCCAGTTACGGCAGACGTTTGGAAACATCAAAGAGTCTAGTACTCGAACAATAAAACTTCACAGTACTCATGGTCGGAGGAAACAAGTTACGATAGTCATAATGAGAAATGTACTTATGACAAAATTTAAATTTTCTTAAAGTACTCTCATAGGTCTTATCCAGTACAGTTCCAAACTGTACCTGTGCAAATGATTTATGACTGTCACGTCCTCGCAGCACAAGAAACGGTGTTGTAAATCATACTACACACTAATCTATGGCGGTCATCAATCGTCCATCTAACGGCCCACCTCCTCCTGCTTCACCTACTAGGACCTATCATAGGAGAGAGCAGGGCGGCGCATCCTCATCCTCCACCACTCCCCATATCCCTACCGACCGTGAGTCTATCATGGCCGAAATACAGGAGCTTAGGTTAGGCCAGCAGAACCTAGCCTCCCGTGTTCACACCCTAGAGACTGACCTACGCCAGTCTATGTATATCCTGTATATGACCGACATTGGTGGTACTAGCGGGGCGGCTGGTGGTGTTGATGATGATGGTGACGATGGAGGTGATGATGATGATGATGGTGCTGATGATGAGTTTTCTTGAGGACTCAGGTATTTCCTCCTTCCCACTTGTTGCAATGAGGACATTGCCGAGTGTAGCTTGGTGGAAGTTTGTGCATAGTAGTTCAGGTATGTTCTATGAGTTTTTATTTGTTTTGGTTTGTTTTCTTTTATGTGTTTTGGTGTGTGTTTGTTAATTTTTTTTTAGTTAGTTTTTAATTGCTTTGTTAGTATTTAGGTATTTAAAAAAAAAATTTGAAAAATTGTAAAAAAACTTGAAAAATACGAGAATCATGATAATTAATGGCCATTGAACTACTTCCCTGTGCCCCTACCCTTAATGATAAAAAGGTTTTGATTCAATGATGATTGAAAGACTTGCATTGTAGACTAAAAGATCATGATTTGACCTTGAATTTGTTGATCCCTAATAGGAGTCAAAGCTATTTAACCATGTATGATTTAGGAGCTTGACTGTGTTAACCGTGAGGCTTGAGCCTTATATATTCATTCTTGTGTGTGTTTAGTTCCTGGTGTAGCATTGCTCTTAGTTTTGACTTTAGACTCTCAGTAGTGTGTCGTAATGCATTGCATGTGCATGTTGAAATGACGAAGTCCATGTTCATTAGGTAGCCTTCAGACAAACTTAGAACATCCGTTCCCTTCTTGCTCACCCATGTTGCAGCTTGACTATATTTTTCATGAACTCCACAAAAATTACCCCTTGGCCCCAATTTAGTTACTTTTCCCAAGTCTAGCTTAGGGGAGCTACTTTATGCGGTATTTTTGTGTGATTTTGTTTCAAGTGGCAATTGATGTGAAACATTAGTAAAAAAAAAAAGAAAAAAAGGGGTGAGAAAAGGAGGAAATTAGCATGGAGGCTTGTTGAGAAATTTGAAAAAAAAGAGAAATCAAAGAGCAAAGAACAACAAGAAAAGAAAAAAATATTCAAAGGAAGTGTCTTTGTTTTTGAAAAGATTTTTGTTGGATTGAAAAGAAAAGAGAAAAAAAATAAAAGAAGCTTGAAGTTGAGAATGTAGGTGAAAGAGATGATGGGTGTGTTTTTATTGCGGTTTGGATATGTGTTTTGTTGGTTGAAAATTGGTAAATCGAGGTGTGACTCATTGCATTTTATAGTTCCCCGGTTAGACTATTATAGTTCACATTCCCCAAATTATTCTCCTACCCATTCTTATTCCCGGCCTACGTTACAAGCTTAGAAAAGTCCTTCCGATCTTCGTGCATAGCATTGTGTTCATATGAAACGAGTTTTGGTCAAATTGCTGGAGTATATGTTGCATTTCGAGTCGACATTGACTAGGTTGAGCGATATTATAACCCTCTAAACACGCAAGTGTTGTGAGATGGGGGGATTGCCTTATTGGTGGGGATGGTGAGAGATCGAGCTCATTCTTAGCTCGCCACATAAAAAGTGTGTTGAGTGACCACTGATGTGAGATACTCTAGTCATCAATTCTTGAAATATCCATGGTTGGTCTCGTTTGACGATTGATTAGGTGGATCGACGGATTAAGTAATTTGACTGGTTGACTAGGATGCATGCTTGTTGATTTCGATTTTTGAATCCATGTTTTGAATTTGGATTATGGGGTGAAGTATGTTGTTTGGTTGTTGATTATTGTTGATTGTCTTGCTTGAGGACAAGCAAGAATTTAGCTTGGGGGAATTTGATATACACGACTTACACATATGTTTTCCCCGACTTTTCAATACATTCTTGTATGGTTTGAGGCTCTTTAGAGCCATTTTCCGCTAACATTCTCTTCTCTAGTGTGTTCGGTGCATTTTTATAAGTTTTACAGGAACTTGGAGTTTTTCGGATAATTCGGACATGTTTGAAGCATTTTGGAGATGTTAGGGGACAAGGATGTATAATCGAGCTAAACACGAGCCAAGACTTAGAAGAACGAGCAAGCAAAAGAAGTTTTTATAATTGTGCCCGATCGGGCTAAGCATGCCCGGTCAGATCGGGCACAGTAGGGACTCCTGACTGATGCTGGAATTGAAGCAAAGAAGTTATCTTAAGGTTTTATGCCACGCACCCGATCGGGCAGGCCTCGCCCGGTTGGACCGGGCGCGTGGAGGCTGGAGGCGTTCAAGATTATGAAGATCAGCAAGGCAGCCAGGGTAGGCGTTGTGCCTCGCGCCCGATCGGATGCTACCCGCCCGGTTGGATCGGGCGCAGAGGAAGTTTAGAGAAGAAAGCAGCGCTGTTGTTTATACCATGTGCCCGATCGGGCAAGTCAATCCCGGTCAAACCGGGCACAGTTGTGCGTAACTCCGAATTCTAATTTTATTATTTTTAGGTCATTAAGGGTATAAATACCCAGTGTAATTTTCATTAGTGGATTATTGAGATTTTCCTTAAGTCCTCTTTCTCTCTCTAGAACTTTAGTTTTATTCCTTTTAGCAATTTAACTCTTAGGTTAGATTTGGGTATTGTTGATTAACAATTTGAGTAATTTCAATTGAAGCATCATTGGTATTCATCTCTATTCCTTTCTCTTTCAATTATTTATGCTTTTTCAATCATGTTTTCTATAATTATGATTGTTATTGCTTTTTTCAATACGTGTGAGTAGATTTCTTATTCCAAGATCTAGGGTAGCCCAATTATGATTGATGCATGAATTAATTCTTTAAATTCTCTAATAACCATTGTAATTGTCTATGCTAAATTGATTGTGATTATGCCAATGCTATATTAGAGATAATTAGTATTGTTATTATTCCATTGTTTCTATCACAACGAGAGTTGGATTTTAACGGAATTGAGTAAATTGATTTAGAGTTTGAAATTCATCACGAGAGTAGTTGAATTGATAATTGGGAAGTGAAGTAAAGTGTTTAATGTCTCTAATTTGCATGATACCATGAGAATAGGCTTGATTGTAGGTTAGGGAAGCCATTGATACCCGAGAGAGGTCCTTGGTATTGATTAGGGTTTACTTTTCCCCATGTTAATTGGAATTGTATGTTAGGGGTAGATATATAATTGCATCGATCGTAATTGTGGTGATACTTGATCTTGGATGTTTTAGTTTATTGATTTATTATATTCGTTTGATTTATTCTAAGTTTTCCGTACATTAGCTTTTAGTTTATTCCACCATTGTTTGATTCTTGCTTGGTAATTACTTGAGTCTAGATAATTTAGGTGAACCTTAGTATCTTGGGATTCGACCCTTACTTGCCCGACTACATAGTTAGGAGGAATAGTTAGGTTATTTTTTGTTAGGTACGCGACACGCCTATCAGCAAGAAGGGTACAAACGTTTCTAAACTCATCTGGAGGTCACCTAATGAACATGGCCTTCGTCATTCTCAGTGTGCACGTGCAATGTATCATGACACATTACTAAAAGTCTAGAGTTAAAACTAAGATCAACATCACACCAGGAACTAAACACACATGAATGAATAAATAAGGCTTAAGCCTCATGGTTAACACAGTCAAGCTCCAAACTCATATATACATGGTTAACAACATTGACTCCTACTAGGGATCAAACAATTCGAGATCAAATCATGATCTTTTAATCCACAATGCAAGTCTTTCAATCGAGATTAAATCAAAAACCTTTTTGGCATTAAGGATAGGGGCACAGGGAAGTAGTTCATTGGCCGTTCACTATCATGATTCTCGTATTTTTTTTTCATTTTTTTTCTGTACTACCAAAGCAATAAAAACCAAAGCAATAAATAGAGAACATATCGAGATAGATATACACAAGTCTCCCCCAAGCTACACTCGGCAATGGCCTCATTGCAACGTGTGGGAGTTGGAAAATTACCTCGGGGCGGTGATGACCTTTTTGTTAGTTTGTTTTCTAGACACTAACAAAACAGGAAAATAAAAATGTAAAAGGAAAAAAAAATAAAATAAAATAAAAAGGAATGGGTTGCCTCCTATTTAACGCTTGTTTAAGGTCTTAAGCTTGACCTTCTTTATTAGCTTAGCCTGGGTCACCACACAAAGAAGAAACTCCGCGATGTTACCCATAAAAATATCCGCCTCCAAATGACTCCTTCATTTTATATTTGACATGTTTTGTATCTGAACTTACTTTCATGTAGCTAAACACATCATTTGGTGGAATATTGTCCTCGTTTCTCACAAGATTTCTATCATATACACACTTATCAACCAAAGGGTTAGTAGCATCAATTCTTAAACAAGTACCACCATCAAATATAAAATTATGTTCATTAAGAGCTTAAACACTACTTGTATATCCTGGGCCCTAGTGGTCACTTGTCTTTTGGGAACATCTATTAGAGCTTGACTTGTGGCAAGGAATGGGTGACCAAATATAATCGGGATCTTATGGTCTTCTTTCATATCCATAACAACAAAATCAACAGGGAAAACAAGTTCACCAACCTTAACTAATACATCCTCAACAACACCCTTAGGGAGTCTAGTAGTCCTATCAGCCATTTGAAGAGAAATAGGGGAAGGTTTAAGTTTTTGCAAACCTAATTTTTCATATAATGAGTAAGGCATTAAATTTACACTAGCACCTAAATCACACAAGACCCTGTTAAAAAATATTTCGTTTATAATACAGGGAATAATAAAACTACCAGGATCATGCAGCTTAGGTGGTAGGCTATCACGTAAAAGAGTAGAGCATTTCTCATTTACTACTTCCTTATTATCATGTTGCTCTTTAATTTCCTTCACAAATTTTGCGAATTGAGGCATTTGAATTAAAAGATCAGAAAAAGGAATGGAAGCATGTACCTTTTTAAGAGTCTTACAATATTTCCTAAAATGTTTATCGAGCATAGCTTTTGACAACCTTTGCGGGAAGGGCATCGGTTCCTCATAGGCCGGTGGAGCAACATATTTGGGACTTTTTACATCCTTACACTTTTCATCTTTTCTTGACTCCACACTGCACACTTTCTCATCTATTTTCCTCGAAAATAATTCATCTCTTCTCAAGAAAACTGCATTGCATTGTTCCTTTTGGACTTTTGCTTGATCATGAAGAGTTGATAAATGACTCACTTGTTGTGAAAGTTGAGAAAGGTGAGTTTCTATCCTCTTATTTTGAGCAATAAGCATTTGAATCAAGCTTTCAAAGTGTTCATTTTGCTTTGCTTGTAGCTCAAATTGCTTTGTCATAAGCTCTTGCTGTCGAAGCTGGGAAGTAGTGAAAGTCTCCATAATGGAATCAAGATTGTATTTTGAAGTTTGCGGTGGTAGTTGTTGCTTTATGGGTTGGTGATTAAAGGATGCCCTTGCTTGAAAACTAGGTGGTGGTGACGGAGAATTCAATTGAGCTTGAGTGTTCATATAAAAGAAATCCGGATGATTTCTCCATCCTTGATTGTACGTGTTTGAATGAGGATCATACGGCCTTTTAGGATTAAAGGTGTAGAATGCATTGGCCTCCTCAATTGACATCTCACTGGAATTTTTGGGGCAATTAGGTGCAATGTGACCCTGCACATTACACATCTGACAGGTCTCCGGTGAGCTAGTAGATGTTCCGGCTTGGAGTCTGTCAAACTTGCTTGTCAATGCCTGCACAGAGCTAGTCAAAAGAGTTAGAGCATCAACATCTAATTTACCTCCCTTCTTCACACTATGTCGACCTCCTGGATGATAATTATCATTGGCTGCCATCTTCTCAATTAGCTCTTTGGCTTCAGTTGGGTTCTTAGTCATGAGAGAACCCCCGGATGCAGCATCAATGTATATGCGGAACTCAAGGGTCAGACCATTGTAGAATGTTTGGATCAACATCCACTCTGGGATACCGTGATGAGGGCATTGTCTCTGTAAGCGCTTGAATCTTCTCCATGCCTCATATAAAGACTCATCATCAGATTCACGAAAGGTAGCTAGCTCGTTCCTTAACCTTGCAGTCTTCTCTTGCCCTAAAAATATTTCTAAGAAAGCTTTGGCAAGCTTATCCCATGTATCAAAGGAACCTATACCTTCGTTTCGTAACCATTCCTTTGCTCTATCCCGGAGTGAAAAAGGGAACAAACGAAGTCTGATAGCATCATTAGTAACACCGTTGAGCTTTATGGTGTCACACTTCTCCAAGAAACTGTCTATGTGACTAACAGGGCATTCATGAGGTGTGCCTGCAAATGAGTCATTGGAGATGAACTGTATGAATTGAGGTTTTAATTCAAAGTTCTGAGCGGTAATAGGTGGTCTGACAATGTTGGATAGGAGCCCGGTTGCGGTATCAGGTATGCTGTACTCCAATAAAGATTTGATTCTTTCAGTCATTTTACTTGTATTTTGATATCCCCTTCTTCTAATTCTTCGTCTCCTTCAAGTAGCTTCGATTTCAGAGTCAAAAGGTGTTAAGCTTTATAAACCTGAACATCGAGTTTGCATGCAACATAGAACTAAAAAGAGGAGATCAAAAATACAAGGGGCAATAGCCGAAGCAACAAATCGAAAGCTTAGTAAAAACGAATCACAAATAATCAGAAAGAAACTCGTTAGTCCCCGGCAACGGCGCCAAAATTTGATAGGCGTGTCGCGTAACTAACAAAAATAAACCAAACGAGACCACTACTATGTAGACGAGCAAGTAAGGATCGAATCCCAAGAGACTAAGGTTCACCTAATTAAATAGACTCAAGTAATCACTAAGCAAGTAACAAATAAATGGTGATGAAATTCTAAGAACGAATAATTAAAGGACTCAATTAATCTAAAGAATGTGATAAATCAATGAACTAAAGCATTCAAGATCAAGCATTACCACGAATATAATCAATGAATAAATAAATCTACCCCCAATAACAATTCAATCGACAAGAGGAAAAGCATTCCATAATCAATACCAAAGGTCTCTCCCGAGTTATCAATGGCTTCCCAAATCAACTATCAAGCCTATTTCCATGGAATTAAGCAAATAAGGGACATTAAACACAATACTTAACTTCCTAATCATTCAATCATCTACTTTCGTGATGACCTTTAAACCCTTAATTGAAATACCCAAATCCCATTAATATTCAACTTGTGTTGCAATAAGAACAAAGGGATGATAACACTACCAATTATTCCTAATCTAGTATTGGCATAAACACAATCAATCATGTCAATTGGAAATATTATTGGAGAATTTAAAGATTAAATCTAAGCATTAATCATATCCGGGCTTTGCAAGATCCCGAATTATGAATCTACTCACACATGCTAACAAAATCAATAATGAAATTCAATGGAGAAAACATAATAAAAAAGCAATAATAATTGAAAGAGAAGAGAAAGAGATAGATACATACCAAAATTGCTTCAATTGAAAGAACTCAAATTGTTGATGAACAATAATCAAGCTAAGAGAAGAATTAAATTGCTTAAAGAAAGTAAAACTAGGGTTCTTAGAGAAAACTAATACTAGAGGATATAATAATGTCTAATTCTAATTGTGATTACAAAGGGTATTTATACCCTTAAAAAGATAAAATTAAAAATAAGCAAGTCAGATTCCGTAAGGCAGTACCCGATATAACCGGGCGAGCTATGCCCGATCGGGCGACTAGGATACGGTGCTTCTTCCTCTTTGTAGTTCTCCTTCCACCACGTGCCCGGTCCTACCTGGCGGACCATGCCCGATCGGGCGCGAGCGGCCTTCAAATTACTTGCTGCCTTCAAAATTCTTAACTATCTTCTAACTCCTCTGTGCCCAGTCCAACTGGGCAAGACATGCCCAACCGGGCACTTAAGGGCTGCAACGCATACTCCATATTCTGCTCATCCTTCTTTGCCATGTCTGACCGGGCAAGCTAGGGTCAACAGGGCATGGGGGAAACCTTCTTCTTCATGCACTAACTTCTTCTATAACCATCCAAAACGTGTTCGATTCATCCAAGAAACTCTGCATTCCTATGAAACTCACAAAAATACATCGAACACACTAGAGAAGAGGTTGTTAGCGAGAAATGGCTCCAAAGAGCCTAAAACCATGCAAATATACGTTGTAAAATCGGGATAAATCATGGTATGAAATTCATACGTCACTAAGGTATAATAGCTATACTCACATTTTTCTAAGTATATTGCCGGTTGCTTTTCTAACACCGTTTGCATGTATACATACGATGCAGCGAGTAGAGGGGCTGAAAAAGCCGTATGCTCGAAAGCAGGAAGAGGTAAGGCGAGCCAAAAGAGAGGTGTCTGAGTCCACCGATGTAGCTCAATATTCAATGTTAATACATGACCTTGAGACTAAAGCTGAGCTCCTATCGCAGGCGGACTCCATCAAACAGCTTATGGCTGCCCCTTCTGAGGTTAACCTGAAGGCCTCAAATCTGGAGGCGGAGCTCAAAATTGCTTAGACGGGCCTCAAATCTTTGGAGGAAACCAACCGGGAGAATGCCACTCTCAAAGAAGACTTCGAACGTTTGAAGAAGGAGATGGCCGCTTCCCGGGACAACTTCAGGGCAATCTTGGACGCTGAGCAGAGCCGACTCATTGAGGAGAATGAGCAAGACTGCGAGACCGGATGAAAATGGCCTGGGAGCTCGTGTATCCGGATGTTGAGTATGACGCCTGGGACATGGCCTACAGATACACAAATCTTGTTCTCTCGGCAAGGGCTAAAGGGAAGCTGGAGCCGTTTCAGGAGTGGCTCAAAAAGGAGCTCTCAGACGGCGAGGAGGCTGCTGATGGCGCAGGGGAGGATGAGGAGGAAGAGCAACATGAAGATGAAGCCCAAGTGAACTCTGCTCTTACTCCGCCTACGAAGGATGTGCCCACGGCCACGCCTCAGTAAATATCAGCTTTTAGTAGCTGTCTCTTTTTTCGGCCTGTGTGCCGAATATTTCTGTTGTACTTTAACAATTTCCTTTTCCCGGACGTAGATCCGGTTTGACAATTACTCTCCCAGCCTTTTGGTCGTTTTTTAGTATATGATTTGCCAATTGAGTCGGTTTTGTTAAATTTGCTTTAATTTTTCCAATTTTTGCAATTTTCAACATGCGTATATTTTGCCAAGTACGTAGCCTAATACATGCGATTTACCGAATGTACTAGATGTATTTACCCCTGGACGGATGTATGCTTGGTTTTAAAAGTGGGTCAATCAATCACCAAGGTGATTGCCTTAAACCAAGCGGACAGTCGTCCATTGAGCATCCGGACTGAATATCAGACGGTCATTGACCGCATCTTAGATCGTTCAGGTTAATCGGCTGTGAGTTAATCCTCATGGAGTTATTCAGTCTGCCAATTGTTTTCTACAATGAATGCACCCTAAGGGATTTCGCCGGATGTCTTGCTCCTGTTGGAGTAGTCGAATTATCGTTTAGTAGCAGACGACCATTGGCCGTGTGTAATTGCTTTTAACGAGTAGTTTATAGCTGCTAAGTTTTTGGCTTAGCTTAAATCCTCAAATTTAACCGTTTGTATTGCCTTTGAGCAATAGCAGGTTATATCCAACCAGGATAACTACCGGTCACCGTTTGTTGCAGACGGTAACCTATGTTATCTAGGTTTCACTTGATCATTCAAACAGCTGCGAGTTATCTTAATCCAAACAATCGGTAGGGCCGTTTGTTTCTTAGTTTATAGAGCAATGTGCCACCCGAATAGGAGATGCTCTCTGCGACGGATTCACCCGGATGGGCGTCACCAGTTGCCTACTCATGTTGGAGCAGACGATTTTCTAATATCATCTGGCCATTGGCCTCATCAGGGTGTTCTATAAGGAACAACACATAGCTGCTAAGTTTTTAGACTTAGCTTATATCTACTCATGTTGGAGCAGACTTAAAATTTTAATAAGTTCGCTTGTACATTGCACAGACGGTATTTTATACAAAAAGCAGTAAATATGATTGAAAATAAAGAACAACTTTTCATTGATAAACTTTATTTATAAAATTTTTGAAGTCTTAGAAGTAGTGCTTTTTTAAGTTGTCTAAATTCCAAGTTCTGGCTAGTTGCCTGCCGTCTGGAGTTTCTAGGCGAAAGGTGCCGCCTCTTACTTTACCATAGATCTGCTAGGGGCCTTCCCAATTGGGAGTCAACTTTCCTTGCTCATTGGCTCTACCGATTGCCTCCATTTTCCGTAACACAAAGTTCCCCACTTTCAAGGGTCGTTTGTGTACTCTTTTGTTGTAGGCTCTTGTCATTCTCAGACAGTAAATCTCATGGCGCAAGGCGGCATTGCCCTTGCGCTCTAGGAGTAAGTCCAATGCTAGTCGCATGGCCTCCCAATTAGCCTCTTCGTCATAAAGCATGACTCGAAGAGTCAGCTCATAGTGCTCAATAGGCAAGACGGCTTCTGCGCCGTATGTCATAAGAAACGAGGTTTCACCGGTTACCCCTTTTTCAGTTGTTCTGATGGCCTATAAGACATGAGGCAACTCATTTGCCCATAGTTTGCTAGCCCTTTTAATTTTCTTCTTAATGCCGTCTGAGATGAGCTTTTTGAAGGCTTCAACCTGGCTGTTTGTTTGGGGACGGCCGACTGATGCGAAGCAATGTGAGATCCCTTGATCTCCCAACCAATTCTTGAGGGAAGACGTCTCAAACTAAGGGCCATTGTCAAAGACCATACACATAGGTACCCCAATCCGGGTGATAATAATCCTCCAAATGAAAGAGATGACATCCTTTGTCTTTATGCCCTTGACCGCCTCTGCTTCTACCGATTTAATGAAGTAGTCAACATCAACTAGAATATATCGCCGTCTGCCTGTAGCAGAAGTATATGGACCCATAATGTCCATGCCCCATTTGGCGAATGGTACTGGGCTGTAAATAGCCGTCAGATCAGTAGCCGGACGGTGTATGAGTTTGCCAAATCTTTGACACTAGTCACATTTCTTCACCATTTCCATGACGTCTGCCTCAAGAGTGGGCCAAAAGTAGCCTTGTCACCTAGCCCTTTTTGCTAGGGACCTGCTGCCTATGTGTGATGCACAAAAACCCGAGTGCAAATCCTCTAGTACCTCCTTCCCCCTTTCTGGGGTGACACATTTCAATAACGGCTGCAGATAACCCTTCTTGAAAAGTTCTCCATTATGAATCTCAAAGTTTGCAGCACGCTTTTTCATTTCAATCGCTTCTGGGTATACATCCGGCAGAGTGCCGTCTGCTAGATAAGCCCGGATGCCATCCATCCAAGTTGAGCTTCGGCCTAGAATTCCAATGGGATCTTGTTCAATACTTCTTTTTTCCATAACTTCCCAAAAGACTGACCTAGATGCCAGCTTAGAGAGAGCATCCGCCTGATTGTTTTCTGACCTGGGCACTTGACTTAGATG